ACCTCGGCAGCTGGAGGACACGAGGAGGGTGAACCGCAAGAATAAGGACGTGAAGATGTTCGCCTCCCCGCTCGAGCACGCAGCCCAGCACTCCCTGGCGAAGGGCATGGCATCTCGCTACGAGGAGCAGCTGTAAGTACAGGCATTCGGCCTCGCCCTTTGCGGCAGCATGAAAGTGAGCGTGTCATGTCTGCGGGAGGCCGAGCCGGGTCATAGGTCGGGGAACAGAGGCTCGGTCATCGTCCTCCTTCCCTGGCACATGGCGCCGTGGCTTCGCTCGTTCGTTTCTCCTCTTGTCTCGGAGATGACTACATTTTAACGCAGTAATCGCAACATCTTTTCACTGGGGTATACATTCTGCAGAAGCCTGGAGTACTTCTTAGAACTAGAATGCAATGGTTTTTACAATTATTACAATAATTTATTTAACATACACTTCATCAGTACTCATTCATCTTAACGCTAGAGGAACAAACACCTCGTAGTCAAGGAACATTTTTTTTTATTCACTCTGAAAGTTGGCATCGCGATATTGCACTAACCTCCATACTGACTATATTACCGGCATTCCTACAGCGACACAGTGTCTGCCAAACAGCAGCAGCCGCTTCAAAGGCCAAAGAGGATATTAAGGTAGCAGAAATTTTTGATTTCAAAGTCGGATGTACCTTCATTGTTTTCGTTTTGTTATCGATTTTGTTTTATTTCGTTGATCTACATTTCAAGTCTCGATTTCTTTTATTTTTCTCTTTATTATTTCTTTGTCCTGTTTACTGTTACGTTCAGGACGATTTTTATTTATTCTGCATAGTGGTAATTTAGCTGTTTCAGTTTATAAGTTTAAATGACTCTAACTCTCCATTTATTTTTCCTGGTCTGCATTCTGTTTAAGTTTCAGCTTTTAATATGTATATATATATATATCAAAATTGTTAATGTCTGAGTTCATATTTGTAAACTTTGTTGATGTTTGAGTTTTATTTCACATGAAATTATAACGTTAACTGTGGTCCCTTTTGTGGTAGATATTCCTTGCGTTCGTCCCATTATGCCTTTGTCGTTCGTTGAAAACACCTCTGTCACGGTCTCCAGTGTCACGTGACCAAGTAGAGCACAGTCGCCCTGTAGTTTGCATGATTTCGAATGCCAGAATACACATAGTTAGCCAGAAGCCACGACAAGGATAAAAAAAAAGCTTTATTCACAGGGGGTCAATCTCATGGGATTGGCCATGGCCAGTTTCATGTGTTTTAAGATTGCCGCTTGTCCTTCTCATGGTTTTGCATAACATGCACTTACATTTTAATTCCAAATATTTGCCTCTGTGATGTATGATGTTCAGTAGGATTATAGGACAAGTAAATATATATAAGCAGTCATGCACGCACACTTACACTTGCATACATGCACACACGCGCGCGCGCACACACACACACACACACACACACACACACACACACACACACACACACACACACACACACACACACACACACACACACACACACACACACACACACACACACACACACACACACATGCATAAACAAACGCGCACAGACACACACACAAACACGTGCGCGCGCACCAGCTACAATTTTTGACTGAGCAAATGACATTTCCTGAAGAAATATACAATATCACTTCCAAATTTTAATTTGAACAACCAAGTATACAGTATAGCATTATTAAGTTCGGTAGAAGACTTTGCATGGAGAATCTCGCATTGTCTAATATATATTGTTTACTTTCTCCTCGACCAAAGGGAGACCAAGGACGTGCGCCACGAGCAGCAGTACCCACCAAGGGAGCCCGAGCCCTCCGAGTCGACTGTGCACGGCAAGGAGGTGAGTGACTTCGCCCAGACAGGAGTGTCGGTTGTCATTCTCATGTTTACATTGGCTATGAATAGGAAACAGTAGTCTTAAGTACTGATGGAATCATACATGATTTATTCCTTCTTCCACAGATCCACACTGCCACGCAGAAGCAGACTCAGAAGGAGATCCAGGGAGACCTTGAGATCACTCGTAAGATCACGGCCACAGAGACCACTGAGATGGAACACACCGGCAAGACCACCGAGCGCATTGTCGAAGGGCCTCCCCAGAAGCCCGCCAAGCCTCCGTTCTTCACCAGGAAGATCCAGCCGTGCCGCGTTTTCGAGAGAGAACGTGCCCGCTTCGAGGTGGAGTTCGACGGCGATCCCAACCCCACGATCCAGTGGTATCGCGAGGACTTCCCCATCACGAGCTCTCCGGACTTCCAGATTCATACCTTCGGCGATAAGAGCATCCTCATGATCCGTGAAGTCTTTATGGAAGACTCCGGTGTGTTTGCCGTCGTGGCGGAGAACAGAGGAGGACGTGCGAAGTGCTCGGCGAACTTGGTGGTCGAGGAACGCAAGCAGAGGGGCGCTGGCGCTGTGCCCCCGAGCTTCTACCAGACCATCCAGGACACCCTCTCGCAGCCAGGCAACCTCGTGAGGCTCGACTCTAAG